ACTATACTATCTTTAAAAAAAAACACAAAAATGGTCAAGGTAACCTTTATTATGGAAGGAGGATGAAATAAACCAAACATTCCTAATTGTAGAAAGTGATACAAATAAATTTACTAAAGCCCCTTCTCTATTGGCATAGTTCTACACTATCTGGTTTGGGTCTGTTCAGTTCTGCTCAGGTGTGTGTGTGTGTGTGTGTCTCCATTTCGGTGTGTCCCTCACTCTGTGGGCATGATTATGGGCAGACCGTCTGCATCGGCTTCATCTGTTGTGTTAAAAAACTATTGTGGTTTTACCATTCAGACTAAACAAAGTGCAGCCCAAAGACCCCTATGATGAGTATCATAAATGGATTCAGTGTTCCCTCGCCCGGATGCAGGTCACCGGGACCCCACTCTGGAGCCAGGCTTGGAAGTGGGGCACGTTGGCGAGTGCCTGGTGGCCGGGCTTTCGCCCATGGAGCCCGGTCGGGCACAGCCCGAAGAGAAGACGTGGGTCCCCATTCCCATGGGCTCACCAACTGTGGGAGAGGCCAAAGGGGTTGGGTGTATTGTGTGTTGGGCAGTGGTCGAAGGCGAGGACCTTGGCTATCTGATCCTCGACTACAGAAGCTGGCTTTAGGGACGTGGAATGTCACCTCTTTGGTGGGGAAGGAGCCTGAGCTGGTGTGTGAAGTTGACAACTAGATATATTCAGACTCACCTCGTTGCACCATTCTGGCTCTGGAACCAGTCTCCTCGAGAGGGGTTGGACACTCTTCCACTCTGGAGTTGTCCATGCTGAGAGGTGCCGAGCAGGAGTGGGCAAACCTATTGCCCCCCATGTTGGTGTTTGTACGTTGGGGTTCACCCCGGTGAATGAGAGGGTAGCCTCCCTCCGTCTACAGGTGGGGGAACGGGTCCTGACTGTTGTTTGTGCCTATGCACCTAATAGCAGTTCAAATTACCCACCCTTTTTGGAGTCCTTGGAGGGGGTGCTGGAGAGCGCTCCTAACGAGGACTCCCTCGTTCTGCTGGGGGACTTCAACACTCACATGGGTAATGACAGTGAAACCTGGAGGGGCGTGGTTGGGAGGAACCGCCACCCCATCCCCTGGATCTAAACCAGAGCGGTGTTTTGTTATCGAACTTCTGTGCTCACCATTGATTGTCCATAACGAACACCATGTTCAAGCATAAGGGTGTCCATATGTGCTCTTGGCACCAGGACACCCTAGGCCACAGTTCGATGATCGACTTTGTTGTCATTTCATCTGATCTTCAGCCACATGTCTTGGACACTCGGGTGAAGAGAGGGGCGGAGCTGTCAACTTACCACTACCTGGTGGTGAGTTGGCTCCATTGGTTGGGGAGGATGCCGGTCAGACCTGGCAAACCCAAGCGTATAGTGAGGGATTGCTTGGAATGTCTGGCAGAGTCTCCCATCAGACGGAGCTTCAACTCACATCTCCGGGAGAACACGTTTCGGGGGAGGTGGGAGACACCGAGTCTGAGTGGGCCTTGTTCCGTGCCTCCATTGTTGAGGTGGCTTACCTGAGCTGTGGCCGTAAGGTTGTCGGTGCCTGTCGTGGCAGCAGCCCTCTAACCCGCTGGTAGACACTGGCGAAGAGGGATGCTGTCAGGCTGAAGAAGGAGTCCTATCGAGTCTTTTGGCCTGTGGGACGCCGGAAGCAGCCGATAGGCATCGGCAGTCCAAGCGGATTGCGGCTCGGGTGGTCACTGAGGTAAAAACTTGGGCGTGGGAGGAGTTCAAAGAGACTATGGAAAAAGACTTCCGTATGGCTTCGAGGCGATTCTGGTCCACCATCCGGCATCTCGGGGATGGGGGAGACGGTTCGCCACCAACACTGTTTATGGTGGGGATGCTGCGCTGCTGACCTCAGCTCAGGACGCTGTGTGTCAGTGGGCAGAATATTTTGAAGACCTCCTCAATCCCACCAACATGTCTTCTCATAAGGAAGCAGATCCTGGGGACCCTGGGTTGGATTCTCCAATCTCTGGTGCTGAGTTCACCGAGGTGGTTAAAAAGCTCCTCAGTGGCAAGTTGCCTGGGGTGGATGAGATTCGCCCAGAGTTCCTGAAGGCTCTGGATGTTGTGGGGTCGCGTTGGTTGACGCGACTCTACAATACCGAGTGGACATCAGTATGGTGCATTCTCTGGGTCGGGGAGGAGGTCCTGCCCCAAGCGCAGGAGTTTAAGTATCTCGGGTTCTTGTCACGAAAGAGGGAAGAGTGGAGCAGGAGATCCACAGGCGGATTGGTGCTGCATCTGCAGTGATGTGGGCGCTGTACCGGTCTGTTGTGGTTAAGTGGGAGCTGAGCCAGAAGGCAAAGCTCTCTGTTTACCGGTCGGTCTACGTTCCAACCCTTATCTATGGTCACAAGCTTTGGGTAGTGACCAAAAGAATGAGATCGCAGATACAAGCGGCTGAAATTAGTTTCCTTCGCACGGTGTCTAGGCTCTCCTGTAGAGATAGGGGGAGAAGCTCGGTCATCCGGAAGGTACTCAGAGTAGAGCCACTGCTCCTCCACATCGAGAGAAGCCAGTTGAGATGGCTCAGGCATCTGGTTAGGATGCCTCCTGGACACCTCTCTTGTAAGGTGTTCCGGGCACGTCCCACTGGGAGGAGGCCCAGAGGAAGACCCAGGACAAGCTGGAGGGACTATGTTTCTCAGCTGGCCTGGGAACGCCTTGGGATTCCCCCAGACGAGCTGGCCCAAGTGGCTGGGGAGAGGAAAGTCTGGTTCTCTATGCTTAGGCTGCTGCCCCCGCGACCTGACCCCAGATAAGTGGAAGAAAACGGACAGACGGACTTTACTTTTTATTTATTTATTTGTTGTCATGGTGCTGTCTTGTGTAACTGTGGGCAGCCAGATTGTTTGAAACCTCCCGGTTATCTGCTCAGCTTCATCTTTTTCACCTCTCTCCAGGAAGTGTTTGCAAGTTCTGCCTTTCCCAAGACTGCCAAAAGGGTTAGACAATGGCTGTGTCTCAATTTGTTGGCCACATCCTTATGAGCGCGCATTTGTCGGCCATTTGAAGACTCCTCCTTATATGGCCAAGGAATGCAGCCCACAAAATCGTGAAAATCAAGGATACATCCGAGTATCCTTCCCGGCTGAGGATACCCAGGATTCAATGCTCCGACAGAAAACTAAACAGAGAAACGAAGACGGTGGAGTTTTTAATTTTTTTACTGAGTCGGCATTGTTTGGAAATTCTTCACAGACCGAAGAAATAGTTTTAAAATGTAAATTTAGCAACGTAGCTGATGAAAAATCATGCTGCAATAAGATGTTAAATAAAATGCATCTAAAAGTATTAATACTGGAGC